TCATAGGACATGAATGAGATGGCATGCACATGTACACATCCCGGAGTAGTCAATCGATAAAAATCGGTATCGATTTATCAATCGATGAATCGATAAAAATCGGAAAAACTGATTTGATTGATATCGATTGTATCGATCAATCGGTAGAAATCGATGACACACTCGTTTCGTTTATCTTGATTTTTACCGATTTCATCGATATATATCCGAGTCTAATGATATCTTTTCATCTGTTCATCCAAAAATGAAAACTGGTTTCATGTGAACAGTAAACTTGTTGACAATTCAGTTGCAACTGAGAGTCGAAGGATCAAACAATCATCACTTTTTTAAAAAAAATCTTTTAAAAAAATCTGAAAAATCTGATCTTTTCTTTACAACCGGGTTTAAAATAGGCGGGTAGGCGCCCAGTCACGATTAAGACCTGGCCGCCCTTTCAAAATAACTTCGGTGTAGTTCTGGGTGTAGTTACACCCCGGAGTAGCCAATAGATAAAAATGGATATGGCAGTCAATTGATTTGAGTTCGATTTTTATTCGACAAAAAAAGGATTAGAAGCAACAAATATCTGTTAGCAAATAGACCTTTTCACGGTTTATGACGCCACCTTGGCTGGGGTGCAAACACCGCTAAAATTACAGTGACTGTATGGGATTTTGGGCCACTTGGAACCGCTATAACGCCGCTACAAAGAGGCGGATTTCCACAGTGAAATGTATTTTAGAGGACATTATTATTATTAAGTTGACTGTAGATATGTTCTTTTTGTTATTTCTTTAATTCCCTGTCTATCAAAACTTGTCTCAGCTGTTTTAGTAGTGCCTTCTTGTTTCTGTAAGGGGAGGGGGTGGCGTGGTGTGGGCCTGAAAGGAATGCACTTTGGTACAAACCCCAGCATTAGTATTCTGAAATCCTGCCCAGTTTACATGCAGTTGTAAGAGAAAGATCCAAGTTAACCTTTTCTCATATTGGGCGATTCCAGAAAATATCCATACCATACCACGGACAGCTTTAAGGATTTCCGAAGGGGAGGGGGGATTCACGATTATGGAATTCTGAAGGCATGGGGGGGGGTATTTACGATTTGAAATCCGAAGGTATGGGGGATTCCACAGGTGGGATTTCTGGAGTAGAAAGTGTAGAGTAAGTTCCTGGAAAACGCTATTGTTGTGGACTTTTGTAGTTCAGAAATAAACCACGAACGTATGACCGCGGAAGCAGAAGACAAGCATCGATAGATCAGACACGTGTTTACGCTCATAACTTATAGAAGTGAACAGTAAAACGTTGGTTTCACATTTACCTTGATGAATTTCTTGTCACGTGAATAAAAACTGAAAATGTATCTTTTAATACCGCTTGCAAATTTCTTGTTACTCCCGTCCGAAACCGTCCGATAAACAGTAAAAAACTCGCACCAGTCCCTCACTTCCAAGGAATGCCTGTCAGATTAGAACGCTTTTCGTGCGCACTACATGACGTATAAAAGGACGCAACACGACTCGACGGTATATTTGACCGCCAAAAGATTTTAACAGTCTGTTTGAGCTATTTTCCTTTGTAAACGTCAAAACAGCACAAGAAAACAAAGAGGAGTAAAATTACCTTAAGTGGTGTTTATTTTTTTAGCCAAATTCGGACTTAAAAAGGAGTTTGCACGGCCTGGCAACTAGCGTAGGTTTTTCTTGTCACTGAAGAGTAAAGCTTGTCACCTGGCGCCGCTAGATCACAGCCTTGAGGAGGCATAAATTCATGTTCGTTTGTTCTTATAGGCGTTGCTAAGTCGAAAATGTACTTCCAAAAAAACCCGGAAATTCTGAAGGGGAGGGGGGGTTCACGACTATGGAATTCTGAGGGCATGGGGGGGTAGCGCATTTTGGAATTTCCGAAGGCAAGGGGGGGTTAAAACATGGAAGCCGTCCGTGGTTGGGTATGGATATTTTCTGGAATTGCCCATTCCTCCTGGTCATGTTGTTTTGTATACAGATCATAATCACTAGGCTATTAATTTTTTTGTTTAGCATGATTTCCACAATTATAAATGCAGGAAGATCAATGTTATCCCTAGCCTGACATTCACTGGTAGACCGGGACTCTAAGCATCATAATGGTGTAAAAATGCCAGGAAATGTGAATTTTGTTTAGCTCATTATTAATGTAGTTGTGTTCATGTTTCAGGAATAAATTGCTTATAACCCAAGCTTATCTGTGACCTAACATACTTCATGTGTTGAAGGTAAGCCTAAAAAGATAATGATAAGGGTTTTGAAAGATCACTTCTAGAATAATTGATGATGGTATGAAATCAGTGCTTCAAGCTGAAGACACTGAAGGAGAGAGACATATTTCTATTTCAACATTGTTTATTTTTAACACAATATATATTCAGCAGAAAATTAAAGCAGGGAGTCACATGCAGTCACAGAATACCTTTTATTATATTTTACTATTTTATACGCATAGCAAACAATATGTTTTTCAGTATAAAACATGGACTGTGGACTGCGGACCACAGACTGAAGACTGGGTATAAAACATGGACTTAAGTATAAAAGTGGACTATGGACTGTTTTTTTAAATACATAGCTTTAGAAAGGAAAAGATTAGAGAAATGGATTGTTGATCTGCATAAAACAAGAGTCCCCATTCTTTCAATCCCGTAATCCTGACCCAAAATTTCATGCAGTCCTGTGATCTCAAGGTTTACAGACTGTGTGTTTTGGAACCCACCTTTTGTGCAGACTTTCATCCCGAATCTCGCCCCTATTTTGCTTTAAAATCCCGAATCCTGAGCCTCAAATAAGAGAAATTTAATCCTGGATCCCACAAAACCTATTGGGAACTCTCTAAAACAGTTATTTGTAGCTCCCAGCCTCCCACACAAACATTCTTTGTCTCCTTACCCAGTCTTTTATCCCTTTAATGTCTGTGGGGAAGGAAAGCACAATAGGCTCTTTGCTTGACTTGATCACGTGATGAACTTTCTGTAAACATGAAAACATTTCGCTTTTGAAAAATTTTGTTAGCACAAACTGAAAGAGCATATTAAAATTAGGTTACCTGAGAATTTTCAGCTGTATATCTCAAAAGTAGCGATTGTAACGGCCGATGAAAGTTAGAAACATTTGTATGAGAAAAACAACCTTTGCACCCAGTCACGCTTGCATGGTTTTCCATACAAATCCTTGTAAACTCTTAAGTTTTTTAACTCTAGTGTAATCCTTTTCTTATGCATTTAAGTGCTCAAATTGTCTGTTATGAATTAAAAAGAGATTTGAGCCCTGTAATGCTTAATAAGTCTTTTAGTTGTCTACAGTAGTAGAAATAAACTGTTGTTGTTGTTGTTGTGAGGAAATATTTCATGACAGTTTGGAAAATTTCGAAATTTAAGGATTTATATGGAAAACCATGCAACAAGCATGGCTGGATGGCAAAAGTTGTTTTTCTCATACAAATGCTTCTAACTTTCGGCAGCTGTTGCAATTGCTACTTTTGAGATATATGGCTGAAATTTCTTAGGTTACCTATTTTTAATGCTCTTTCAGCTTGTGCTAACAAAAGTTTTCAAAAGTGAACTGTTTTCATGTTTACCAAAAGTTGATCACGTGATCAAGTCATGTAAAGATCAGCCTATCAACTGGACAGTGAGGGAAGACGACCATGCCTCTCAAGCACGCCAAAAATGAAACTTTAATTTGATAAAAAGAGGAGTTAGACAAGAATTCAATTTACATTTTTAAACCAATCAAATATATGAAATTGAGAAACACTACGGTTCATATAGTCTGCATTTTTTTTTAAATACAGCTTTGCAACAGTTTCTGCTTTAGAGACAGTTTATGACTGTAGACTGGAGCCCAGGCCCCCTGAGGCACTTTTTGCACTGGTTAAAAAATCCTAAGCTATGGAATCCGTAGCTTTGTACCCTGTTTAACTTTGGGTGCATGACTTAATGTCCTTTTCCAAGTGCTCTAAACGTGTGTATGCATTGTAGTAATATTCAGTGAAAGAAAATTAGTGGGAATTTTTATCCTTGAGGTTAGCTGTACTACAATTCCTTGTGGCTATTTAAGAGGCCCTGCCAGAGGTGGGGGGAGGGGCAGAACCCATGTCGCCCGTCTGAATTTTAAAACGTCTCGTATTGGTGTTTATAAATGCTTGTTGCTTATTGTCGGCTTTGCCGTCACTGTTGCAATTTGGCCGAGGGAGGTCGTCTCTTGTCGCGATTTCATTTTACGTACTAAGGTTATTCCCTTAAAAATGTTTATACGTTCCAGCTTTTTTCAAACTTGGCACAAATGTCAGTCATATAATAGAACATTCAAAATCTGCAATAAAAAGATAGGGTCACAGTGCTTGTTTTTGCCCTGACTAGTGTGCCTGTAATTCTGATTATTTTTTCCTATTTGTGTGGAAAGTGTTTGAAACTTAAAAAACCTTCAAGAATTCTTATTTTATAGCAAGCACTATTGAATCCTACTAAACCTTAAGCACATTTGTTTGTCTGGGCTATATTTTTTCAGTTTTAAAAGAGACCTCAAATTACCTGTAGAGAAATGGACTGCAGTTTTAAGATTATCTCGTACCATACCATTCTGGTTTCATAGCAAAACGACAAAAAAGGGATAATTCCCACTTTAGATGATCATTTTGTGCAAGAAGACTGGGGCGAGTTTCAAGACAAACACTTTTTTAGCCAGGTAAGGTGATGCGCAGTGCAAAACAAGGGAAGTACCTTAAATAGTCTTCAGCTAACAAAATTTATTCAGCATGGCTTCAGCTGCTACACTGTCATATGCATCCACCATGCAGTGGAGTCCTTGTTTAGCTTTGTACCCTGTGTAATTAATTCCTTTAGGTTGATCACTCAATGTACTTTAATAAATGCTGCATATGTGCTATATCCTTTGTGCCTATAAAATTATGGTTGCCCGTTTTCCTATTGTAATTTTTTTAAAATTTTATTTTTCATAATTTACAGCTAGCAGAATTTATTCAACATGGCCTCTGCGGCTATACCTTCATATCCATCTACCAAGGAGACAACAAATTATTCTCGTCTGTGTCGTCTTCTTGTGGATGTAGGATCCCAGGCATTAAGGAACAAGTTTGATAGTATTCACCCACCCGCAGGCCTACATGCAGTTCTGACAAAGCCTCCTGCACACCCAGTATTGCAGACACTTAGAAAGAAGAGAATTCTCAATCCCACTCAATGGGCCAAGCTGTATCCCCCTTCACCTTCATCCATATCTTCAAAAGATTTTGATGTCACACTGCTGATGTTGCTCTTAAGGAATATATGTGGCTTGATTCCTCCAGCCACTGGTTGGGATAATCTCCCACCTGCTGCAGATACAAGTGCTGAAGCCCACATAGCTAGGGTGAAGTATTACAGAAACCATGTCTATGGACATGCCAGCCAGGCATCTGTGGATGATGCCACATTTAATTCCTATTGGCAGGATATCAGTAATGCATTGGTAGGACTGGGTGCAGATGCCACTGCTATCAATAAGCTGAAGACTGAGAGTATGGATCCTGTCATTGAGAAACACTACCAAGAATTACTGAGGGAGTGGAAGAAAGATGATGATAGCAGCAAAGACAGACTTGATGAGATTGAAGGTAACTTGAAAATGCACCACACATATTTATTGTGGATAAAAGAAATAGCCATATAGTACTATATTCAATTCAATACAGTACTATAGACTTTATTGTGTTCCCACTATTGAGGATCTTCATACGTAATTTATAATGCAGACAATGATAAATAGTAATAATTTATTATTTACAACAAAAAAATAATGAATACAGATAAACTAAAGAATAACTAATTATTATTATACATGTAAGTATGGTAAAAACATGTGCTAATAGGCACATTCATATGTTTAAGAGTAACTCATTCAACAAAGAGGTCAGCCAAAGCTGCAGAAGATGCACTTTGAGATTGTCCTGACTGACAAGTGATACAGAGTTTTTGGTTACAGGAATCAGTTTAAGTAATGTTCAAAATAAGAACAGAATTGTTTTATCATTAGTTAAAATTGAGCACGAAGCGCAAAAATTTTTAACCGGTGATAAAACATGTACTGTGAGCGTTTTAAACAGCTTCAAAAACCTTCCCAGGGTATTCCATTTCAATACGATTGCTAATTAACGCATTTCCCTTTTGTAAAACGTGTTGATTGAAAAGTGTTATTTAAACAAAAGCAGGCAAATTACATAGGCTGTTCAGATGTAGTTGTGCAAATACGTTGTGCAACTGAAGTACACAGTTTATGCTCTTATTAATTGAAAGAAAGTTCCACAGTTAATAATCGTACAAGAGGGGAAAATTGCTAGAGGAGAGTGTCGTCAAATCTAACTGCAACGTGACATAATGGGCATTGATAAGTTTAATGAAATTACAAACTGGGAAGAATTGTTTGTGACTGTTTTCGCCAACTCTTTCTCGGTAACAGTCGTATCTTGAAATGGATTGGTTTGGTGTTCTCTTGGTTAAAAACTTATGGTATTTAATTTTAAAATAAAATTTTGACTGGTTGACGGTTTTTTTTCTTCGTTTTTTAGAATAAATAATTTTTCTGTCGACACTAGTTACTTTTTCAAAGTTTTGACTTTTTTCGTGTAATTAGTTGCAAATTATGTAAGGACCACATTATGTAAAATTTCATGGTTATTAGTACTTTTTATGTAAAATTTTCATCCTTATCAGCAGTCTATTGTTTAAATCATTCAATCCCATATTTCCCCTGAGGCCCTCCCTGACTTTTCATTTTGTTGAGTTTTGAGTCTTTCTTCTGAGACTGCTATAGTAATAAGATGACACTTGCAACGTCTGCCATCATCTCCTTATCATCAACTTTTTTAATTGTAGACACGGCTTGACACGAAGTTTTATCAGCTGAACAAAATTTTATATCATTTGACTATAAAATTATTATTAAAATGGTACCCCTTTAAAGGTTTATTTACAGTTTAAAGTTTATAGTTTTTGCTATTACAAGTGGCTGTTTAGATTGGTCCCCTGAAAAGTTAGACAAATCCAAAAAAGGGATATAAATCTGCAAAACACTACAAACGTCTTAAACCTTGTTTGCCTTTGCAAGTAATGTAGTCTCTTTTCCCAACATGTTCAACTAATTATATCAGGAAGGGGTTGCAAATACAGTAATAAAGTCAAAGATGCTGAGACCTTGTTTATAAGTCTAAGACTTTGTGTCAAGTTCAATTCCCCAAGACAGAAATAACCACACAAGAAAAACCTTACTACTAACCAAAATCACTTTCAACGTTTTGAGATCAAATCCGATTTGTTTTAAGTGTAGACCCTCATAACAGTGTGCAGAGTTAAGGTGTTTAAACAAAACAAACATTTGGTATTTAGCAACTTGAACTGTGTTTTCTTCACTATCTTATTGTACCTATTTTTTCATGATTTAAGGATTGTTAAAGGAACTGAAGAAAGACAGCGATAACTCACGAGACAAACTTGAAGGTATGTTGGCCATTAAAAGGGTTTCATAATCAATTCCCTGGTAAAATTAAGACACCTTTTATAAGATGACTCAGTCTGTTGGGTGGGAAAATCCCAGTCGTTATTAAAATCTGTAGGGTAGCCCTCTTAACTCCTCACCTACAAAATACGAGTTACGACCTCCTCAATCAAATAACATGTTCTCATTTTGTGTGATCAATTTTTATTTTGTTGTTTGTGCTCAGTATCGTGCATGACCGTACACAAAAATTTCAATTAAAACAAAAAAATATTTTTGTTGAAAACAAAATTTTGAACAAGGATAAAATTGAACCACAAAATTTACCTTGCATCATAATGCAAGCCTGATTCAAGAACTTACGTTGACGTGCAATTAATACTGTTTGCTTTTTATATAAATATATACTTATCCCCAAGCCAACGAGTCAGATTTTCCCTATTCTTTCGTTTTCAATCTTATTTTTATTCACATGGATTTAAGCATTTCCCGAGTAACTGCCCTTCTCTCTCTCTCCTCTACTTAACGAACATCAAGTGACCGTACACCCGTTATCACACTTATGACAAGAAACTCTCGAACCTTTGAGGTGTTATTGTCACAACTTGCCTGATGAGCAGTAAAGATACTTTTACATGTCCTCCTATATTGCATGTATCTACAGGGCTTATACGCAACTTTTGTATTGCCAATAATACACTTTGTTTGCGCTCTGCTTTATTTTTTGTAACCATTTTTTCCCAATTTCTCCGGGGTGTTACAGTCGTTGCACACAAATTGAAGTCCAAGCTTATGCAAAATTTTGGGTGCATTATGTGCATTTTTTTGATAATAAACAGAACAGCTAAAGAACATGAATGATCAGATCCTCGAAAGTGAGAAAAAAATCAGTGACAAGCTAGAACGTTTGACAGCAGATCCGAAAGAGGAAGCAAACCAAGAAAAAGGTATGTTCTAAACTTCCTGATAAAAAGGACAAGAAGCCACCTTGTTTCTACCTTACAGAAGCTGTCACATTCCAGCCTTCGCAATTTGCAAAACAATTTTATATCAAGCTGCTTTCAGCCTATGTAGATCAGCTGACCTGTCACTGTTTTCTGCCTGGTATATTCCAAACTGTTGATTTTTTTTTTCTCACGCGCCGTACACTTTCCTTTCCCTTTTATTTTAGTTTTTGTCACGTAACAAACAGGTGTCCATTTTATTTATGAAGAGGAAAATTGACTCAAGGCCTCAGTCCTGTAGCAACCAAGTCACAACATTGCAATTAACTGAGTGAGAGACAGGAGAAATAGCTGAAGTGTTGTCCAATAAGGGCCTGATGGAAAAAAACATATTGATCGAACATCCTTCCAAAGCAGGAAATCAATGCTTTTCTTATCCATTGAGCCTTAAAAGTGAATGGACATGTTCCCTTGTTCCCAACATTCTTGGGAAGCTCTCGTCTGTTGATACCGTAGAGTTCCACTTTTCAGACCTTCCTCTTTTCTTGCCCTTTATGAAGCAATATGCATTCATTTACCTTACCATCCATCAGTGCCTAATATCGAACAAGCTTTTCTTGTTATATTTTGAACAAGAACGTAACATTTCAATTGAACTGGTAAAAGATTTTTCAAACGAAGTTGCCATAAAGTATCTAGCGTTCATTTTTCTTTTGTAAGTTTGCATTTATCATTCTTTGTCGCTTTCGTCATAGAACCATATTAGGTCCTCATTGTCACGGGAGTGACCAATTGATACTAATGTTAATTTCATTATACCGTTCCCCAGTCGTTGGGACAGCAATACCACATTTGTCAAACGAGCGAATAGTGATCAGTATTGGCATCCTTTCACCGATGCCGGAGAGATTTCTTGCCAAGCTTGCCCTCCGGCCATTTTGTCGAAAGAACTGCATAAGCGCGCTTGATGATGTGTAAAGAGAAAATAGAGGGTCTGTGAACAGGCTAAACGTCAAGAGGCTGGACTTTGCCTATTGTCTCTGGGAGTCAGTATTTTTGCGTATTCAAGTACGCGCAAACAAAAGGTCTGGGGCCCGTTTCTGGAAAGACCCGATAATTAACGGGCCCGTAAAGCTGCTGTTGTTTACATACAAGATAGAGGTTTCAATAGTTTTGCATCTAACGTGATAAAATTATCAGTTACTGGAACAAAATGGAGTAGTTTGCTAGCCAGGACCCGCGCTCTTATTCTTTATATTTCTATTTAAATATTTGATTTCGGGCCCGAAAGGTTACCCGGACCAATCGAGAAACAGGCCCCTGGAGTGAGTTTGAAAAAGGCTCGCGCGCACACTACGCTATACCGATTTTAAGAAAACAAAACGACTTTTTTGCAGTCTAGTCATATTTGTACTATTCAACTTACAATGAATGTCTTCCCCAGAAAAAAATCAGAGAAGACCTCGAAGAGATCAAAGCGAACTAGAAAGCATGGGCAAGAAATTGGAAACTTCAACAAATGAAGGCAATTTGCATGTGGGCAGTATTAGTATTCTAGTGTTTCAAGCAATGAAGATGTTGAAGGAATTTACGTCTTTTGACAAACAAATTTGAGGAGAATGACAAGCTTTGCGGTTTGCTAGGAAAATCCCCATAATCGTGAGATTGCAGTAACAACAGGTCCCTGAGTTTAAATCCTCTGCGTTCGAGCCAAACTGGGCCATCCGGCCAGAGCTTGTCCCGGTATTCTTTGACACGGCGAGGAATTTTTCTGCCACTCCATGGATGGGATGCTAGTCCAAGGCATGTTTACCCCTAGCATAAAATTAGCTGGTACCCATGTATACACTTGGGTGGAATGAGGCACACTGTGGTAACGCAGTGACTGCCGCCAGGGCTTCAGTCCGAAACTCTTTTCGATCCAAAGTTCACAGCACTAGCCATTAGGCAACCACGCCGCCCTTTACCTTTTTCAATACTTAGTATATTCTCAACTAACGGAAGTTTTGCTTATATTTGTATCCCCAGACAGAGAAAAATTTGAGAAGATTAAAGATGAAATAACAGCCATTAGAGAAAAGTTAGATGCCTTGACATCCGCCGGACAAGAAAGCAGTGATAAAGGAACATGTAAGATCTGCAGATAAGTTCTGCATTTAAGGACTATAAACAGTGTCCGCGTCATTATTTGTCCGTTTGAAGCGGGTTAAATTTAGAAAACAACAAAAAGGGCTCTACGGGGGAATTGGTGAAAGTCCACAATGGAACACACAATCAAAGTTCTCTTACGCGACCACCCGGGAAATTCGAAAAAGTGGTCGTAACTAGAGCTGGTCGGAAATGAGCTCTCGTAAGCGACCGCATAGTAAACAATACGGAGTGGTCGCTTACGAGAGCTTTAGGAAATCGTTAATAATTCATAAAGAAAAAAAAAAGGAATTAATGTTTAATGTGTCTTTTATATCTGATATAGACACGGCTAAACTTTACGTCCAATTTTTAAGATCACAAACCTGCTCCAGACTTGGCTTGCTAACTGTTGAGGCTACCTTGCCAAGTTCCTGTCTTGTACGTAGCTTTTAGCTGCTTTATTTGGGACTTTCGGTCTTTGCCTTCATTTCTTGTCTTCAAAATGTTCATTTCTCGATGACCATGTTACCACCCAACATTCGGATTTTTGCCATTTTTTTGCAATTTTTCAAACTTCTAAGCTAGTAGATCGAAGTATACATGATTATGCTCTCGGTGTAGTTGTCCTCTTTCGAGTTAAGAGGGTTTATCTTTCAAGATATTCACAAAAAAACAGGGAAGGAGTTCGCGCAATAGACTTCTTTAGGTTGTATGTTTTGGTTTTCCCAATACGGGTCATGTGATAATACTCTAGAGAACTAATTCTTTCTAATTACATCGTGTTCACCGGATATCTACGCACAATTTATGAAGAGACAATGGGTCAAGTTCCTCTAGGACCTCTATTGGAAAACAAAACATACAAGCTAAAGAAGTCTATTCGAGCTACAAAATAAATAAAAAATTTGATGGGAAAATATACCTGCGCACGCGCACCTTAAACGTGAAAGTACACAAATCGAATATTCGAGTCAAAAGATGGCACAACAAGTATGAAGTATTAAATTAGATTGCAAGAAAACAACTTTCCTCCCCTCGCTCCCCCCTTTCAGTCTATAGCCCTTTTCCCTCACTAAAGAGCCTGGCCCCAGGCTATGAACTGGGCATGAATTTTGCCGAAATAATTGGTTATAATTTTATTAGAAATGATTACATGTTTTTGTTTGTTTGTTTGTTGTTGTTGTTTTTTTAAGGCAAATCTAAAGTTCAGCAAGGGGCAAGCAGTGATCCTGCAGGTGCTAGAAGTGAAGCTTTAGGTTCAAGCAAAAGAGTTCTCCATGATCAAGGTGTACACCAGCGTTTTAGACGTGTAAACAAGACGCTGTGGAAGCGTATGTTTGGGCGTGGTCGTACGACAGGTATGATACTTTGAACATGCCTTTCTGCAGCTAAAGAACTGCCATCATATCTTACCAGAGAGGACAAATCCTTTGCTCCACTTGTTTTCTGAACCACACAGCTTATACAGTATGTCCCAATCCACAACAAAAATAGTGTCATTTTATGACAATCTTTGAAAATATGCACATCTTCAATGCAAACATGCTTGGAGCCAAATTGCAACATAGGACGTAAGTGGCTACAACCCGGAGAGTAAGGTTTATCTCAGCTTCACTGATACTGACAGATGTGTTTTCACACCCATCACATTGTACAGTGTTGATCCGGTTACTAACAACGGCAAATAAAGTTCCTTAAGTCCAGTATCCACAAGCATTAATAAGACAGTAACACATTGCATAAACTGCTATAGGTTAGCACTGTTTACAGGAACATTGGTAACTATTAACGTTTGATATACTACAGTGTTCAACATTACTTCACTATACATATACATATCTCTAGCATGAGAATCAAATACATTATATCCCCCAGCCTCAATGCTGTAGATACCAACATCAGTAATTGCCTCTGTTAAAATGAATGAGTTGTAGTTCAGTGGCAAGAGTGTTTCAAATGCTGTACCCTGTGAGTGGCATATACAGTAGTGATGGATGTTACAAGTATAACTGTCACTGTATTCAGTTTAAATCCTCTGCGTTCGAGCCAAACTGGGCCATCCGGCCAGAGCTTGTCCCAGTATTCTTTGACACGTCGAGGAATTTTTCTGCCACTCCATGGATGGGATGCTAGTCCAAGGCATGTTTACCCCTAGCATAAAATTAGCTGGTACCCATGTATACACTTGGTTGGAATGAGGCACACTGTGGTAACGCAGTGACTGCCGCCAGGGCTTCAGTCCGAAACTCTTTTCGATCCAAAGTTCACAGCACTAACTATTAGGCAACCACGCCGCCCTTTACCTTTTTCAATACTTAGTATATTCTCAACTAACGGAAGTTTTGCTTATATTTGTACCCCCAGACAGAGAAAAATTTGAGAAGATTAAAGATGAAATAACAGCCATTAGAGAAAAGTTAGATGCCTTAACATCCGCTGGACAAGAAAGCAGTGATAAAGGAACATGTAAGATCTGCAGATAAGTTCTGCATTTAAGGACGATAAACAGTGTCCGCGTCATTATTTGTCCGTTTGAAGCGGGTTAAATTTAGAAAACAACAAAAAGGGCTCTACGGGGGAATTGGTGAAAGTCCACAATGGAACACACAGTCAAAGCTCTCTTACGCGACCACCCGGGAAATTCGAAAAAGTGGTCGTAACTAGAGCTGGTCGGAAATGAGCTCTCGTAAGCGACTGCATTGTAAACAATACGGGGTGGTCGCTTACGACAGCTTTAGGAAATCGTTAATAATTCATAAAGAAAAAACAAGAGAAATTAATGTTTAATGTGTCTTTTATATCTGATATAGACACGGCTAAACTTTTCGTTCAATTTTTAAGGTCACAAACGTGCTCCAGACTTGGCTTGCTAATTGTTGAGGCTACCTTGCCAAGTTCCTCTTTTGTACGTAGCTTTTAGCTGCTTTATTTAGGACTTTCGGTCTTTCCGTTCATTTCTTGTCTTCAGAATCTTCATTTCTCGATGACCATGATACCACCCAACATTGGGATTTTTGCCATTTTTTTGCAATTTTTTAAACTGTTTAGCTAGTAGATCAAAGTATACTTGATTATGCTCTCGGTGTAGCTGCCCTCTTTCGAGTTAAGAGGGTTTATCTTTCATGATATTCCCAAAAAAACAAGGAAGGAGTTCGAGCAATAGACCTCTTTAGCCTGTATGTTTTGTTTTCCCAATATAGGTCATGTGATAATACTCTAGAGAACTAATTCTTTCTAATTACATCGTGTTCACCGGATATCTACGCACAATTTATGAAGAGACAATGGGTCAAGTTCCTCTGGGACCTCTATTGGAAAACAAAACATACAAGCTAAAGAAGTCTATTCGGGCTACAAAATACAAAAAAAAATTTTGATGGGAAAATATACCTGCGCACGCGCACCTTTAACGTGAAAGTACACAAATCGAATATTCGAGTCAAAAGATGGCACAACAAGTATGAAGTATTAAATTAGATTGCAAGAAAACAACTTTCCTCCACTCGCTCCCCCCTTTCAGTTTATAGCCCTTTTCCCTCACTAAAGAACCTGGCCCCAGGCTATGAACTGGGCATGAATTTTGCCGAAATAATTGGTTATAGTTTTATAAGAAATGATTACATGTTTTTTGTTTGTTTGTTTGTTGTTGTTTTTTTTAAGGCAAATCTAAAGTTCAGCAAGGGGCAAGCAGTGATCCTGCAGGTGCTAGAAGTGAAGCTTTAGGTTCAAGCAAAAGAGTTCTCCATGATCAAGGTGTACACCAGCGTTTTAGAAGTGTAAACAAGACGCTGTGGAAGCGCATGTTTGGGCGTGGTCGTACGACAGGTATGATACTTTGAACATGCCTTCCTGCAGCTAAAGAACTGCCATCATATCTTACCAGAGAGGACAAATCCTTTGCTCCACTTGTTTTCTGAACCACACAGCTTATACAGTATGTCCAGTATGTCCCAATCCACAACAAAAATAGTGTCATTTTATGACAATCTTTGAAAATATGCACATCTTCAATGCAGACATGCTTGGAGCCAAATTGCTACATAGTACATAAGTGGTTACAACCCGGAGAGTAAGGTTTATCTCAGCTTCACTGATACTGACAGATGTGTTTTCACACCCATCACATTGTACGGTGTATATCTGGTTACTAACAACGGCAAATAAAGTTCCTTAAGTCCAGTATCCACAAGCATTAATAAGAGAGTAGCACATTGCATAAACTGCTATAGGTTAGCACTGTTTACAGGAACATCGGTAACTATTAACATTTGATATACTACAATGTTCAACATTGCTTCACTATACATATACATATCTCTAGCATGAGAATCAAATACATTATATCCCCCAGCCTCAATGCTGTAGATACCAACATCAGTAATTGCCTCTGTTAAAATGAATGAGTTGTAGTTCAGTGGCAAGAGTGTTTCAAATGCTGTACCCTGTGAGTGGCATATACAGTAGTGATGGATGTTACAAGTATAACTGTCACTGTATTCAAGGTGGAAAAACTGCTCAAACACTGTCACCATTCCTGGCAATTCTGTTAACATTAACATAGATTATCTTGCAAGCAGTGACAGACTAGAATATAATTGAATACCAACAATCATTACTTGAGTCATATCAGCAACTGAAGTAATCTTTGTTATCTTACTGTAAATTAAAGCGCACAGACTCATTGCGACACATTGTTGTCCAGCATTTTTCCCAAACACTGTAACATTTCCTTGACAGTATGGAGCATTAATTGTTTTTGTAGCATCTACATAAACTGAAGGTCCTGGATTCTTCTCTATATCAGTACAAAGCTTAAATTGGCCAAAATTAACCCGGTGATTCAAATTGTTGTAAGCACTATAAAACGGATAATTGCATGTACAGAGGGGCAAATTCTTACTTAAAAGCCTATTTGGATATCTCATTCCACCTAAATCGCCTGTGCTTTGATACTTAGACGAGAGATACACCTTCCCTCGTTTACGAACTAGTTTTGGAGTTGCCCCTTAAGTAAAAACCTCACACTGTTACAGTTACTTCTGTACCTTTTTAAGTGTAAACCTTTTCTATTTTTAACGCAACAATGAATTTCAGACGACAATGGTGTATTTTCCCGAATACTCTTCCATACAGAAAGTGTCACTTTCCGTGTTTTCTGTAACAAAGATTTTAATTTGTTCATCGGTAGTCTGCTAGGTGCATGACGGTAACCGGTCATTTCGTTCCATGGTCAGATCGTTCCAAGTCAGACCGTGCCAATCAATAGCAGATCGTTCCATGAAATAGTCAGTTCGTTCCGCAAAAAAGTCAGTTCATTCCACATATGAAAAGTCGAGTAAATCTTTCTAAATTTGTTGAGTGAACTTTATCGAGAAGAAAAACTTTTCGTTCATACCACGAGCTGATAAAATAATAATCGATCCAAAGTCGATTCGATCCATCCTAAATCGTTTGAAAACAAACAAGAGTCGATTTCAACCAGCCACGGGCTTTAACATTTAAACCACCGCTTTGAGAGTTTTTGAGCTAGAATAAGATATAGCACAACAAGTAAAAGCTATGCCGTTCTAAAGGTACAGTATTTCGAAGGGCTTGTAACCTAATTATTTCTTTGCAGCGCACGATGTATGCAAATTTTGAAAACAACGCGAGTTTCGATTTTATATACTATGTCGATTTTATAGTAATTTGTCTTGCCGAAAATAAAATTGACTAACCTGATATAAATAAATTTCCCACGACGAGATCTCTATTTTCATTGATATGTTTGGTCCGAAATGGGCACGCGGGCCCCTTAATTTAGCACGTTTTCCCTCCTGGGACCCTTGCATTACCCCTGGGTATTGAGCGTGCTATTGAAATGTTTTGCCAAGATCAGGATCACTTTTCAGATCGCTTTTCTATGCTTTCATGCCCCGAGAGGGCATATACACTTGCGTTTTTTGTGTGCCATTCCGGTTTTCGTCGCTGAGCATGGCCTGGGCTCCTGACGCTATCCTTCCGTATGTTTTGGAAGCCGTTCGCCCGGCTGTGATACCTCCTTCGAGTTACCTTTTATAGCGTGTCGCTTTCAGACTGGATTTCATGGCGGGTATCATTCTCCATTTCATTTCATAGCGAGTGTCGTTTCGAGTTGTTTCATAGCGTACGTCGCTTTCAGTTGTTGTAGCATTTGTCGCCTTCACGTTGGTTTTTCTCGGCGTGTGTCGCCCTCTAGTTAGCCATTTCTGGCGTGAGTCGCTTTCACTAGTTTCATGGTGACTTTCATATTTTGCTCTCCATTTTGTGTTTATAGCGTTTGTCGCTTATAAGTTTGTTTTTTCATGGCGTTTGTCGCCTTCAGGTTGTTTTCACGGCGTGTGTCGCCTTCCAGTTAGCCATTTCAGCGTGTGTCGCTTATAAGTTGTTTTCATGGCGTGTGTCGCCTTCAGGTTGTTTTCACGGCGTTTTTCGCCTTTAGGTTGTTTCTATGGCGTGTGTTGCCTTCCGGTTAGCCGTTTCTGGCGTGTGTCGCTTTCACTAGTTTCATGGTGTCTTTCGTATTTTGCTCTCCATTTTGTGTTTATAGCGTGTGTCGCTTTTAAGTTGTTTTCATGGCGTGTGTCGCCTTCCAGTTAGCCATTTCAGCGTGTGTCGCTTATAAGTTGTTTTCACGGCGAGTGTTGCCTTCAGGTTGTTTTCATGGCGTGTGTCGCCTTCAGTTTGTTTTCACGGCGTGTGTCGCCTTCCAGTTAGCCATTTCAGCGTGTGTCGCTTATAAGTTGTTTTCACGGCGTCTGTTGCCTTCAGGTTGTTTTCATGGCGTGTGTCGCCTTCAGGATGTTTTCTCGGCGTTTGCCGCCTTTAGCTTGTTTCTACGGCGTGTGTCACCTTCCGGTTAGCCATTTCTGGCGTGTGTCGCTTTCACTCTAGTTTCATGGTGTCTTTCATATTTTGCTCTCCATTTTGTGTTCATAGCACGTGTCGCTTACAACTTGCCCAGGCATGTACCACCTTCAAGTTGTTGTCATGGCGTGTGTCGCCTTAAGGTTAGCGGCATTTCTAGCTTTAGACGTTTTCAGACTAGTTTTTATAACGTGTGTCGCTCTTAGGTTTCCTCAGCCGTGATAGTGCGTATCCCTTTCAGGCTGGTTTGTTTATGGTATTTTCTGCTCCTCGTTTAGTTTTCGTAGTTTGTGTCACGTTCAGTCTAGTATTTGGCATCTTCTGCTCTTATTTTTTAATATTCAATATGTCGTTCCTCCCTTTTGGGATCGTTTTGGTCTTGTATTTCGCATTTTCTATACTTTGCGGTCCGTGTTTTTTCTGTATGCGTGCTCCTTCGCATATCCTGTAGTTTGTCGCGTTTTTATTCGCGTTCGTTGTTGCTTACGTTTTCTTTTCCGCAACTAGTTTCAGTATTCGGAAATTTTCTTCTTCATTTTTTTGTTTGTTCGGCAGTGTTATAGAAGTTAAAACATTAGTTTTTTCTAGTTTATTTCCCCGGGCCCTTTTGTTTTCTCGTCTTTTATTCACTTGGCATTTTTAAGCGATGTTAAAGTGTTAAGCGTCCATTGGCAGTACCCACGGCACGTGCTTTTATCATCGGTTTTTCTGGTTCGAATTTAGAATTCATAATCATGGCATCTCTGTACTGTTTTGTTTACAAATATCAGTGCGCGGTGTACACACTGGGAGGCTCTTAAACGGAAGACGGCCGCTTTCATCCTGTTATTTGGAATTTGTCATCCACGGTTCTATGGTTTAGCTGCCTGGGCTGTTTTCTACGTTCCAGATTTATTCGGCGCTTGCTATTTGTTGTTAGTTTTATGGGCTTATAGTTATTTATGCAGGTTCATCGACTACATGTATACCTCGTGTCACGCAAATCGGTCCATCGCTTTGTTTTAGTTGGTTTTTTCTTGTGTGTTGTTTTACTCGCTTCGAGCAATGTGTCGTTATTTCATGACTTTCGGTCTTGTGCTCCTGCTATCAGTCCGGTCGATCTGGGGCGGGTACTGTAGTTCTAAATTATGCCCGATACTCTGTCTGTGACGGGGTTCCTGGATCGGCCTGGTTGGTGGCTCCCCTTTTTCTCCTTTATTTCTTTTTCCAGTTTCGGTTTAACGCTATGTACGTTGCCTTCGTGGTAATCTATTTCCAATTATTTCGCTTTTAGGCACTGTTTAACTTCTGTTAAAACGCAAGAGATTCCGTCAGATCTTATCATTCCTAGTGTAACTGGAAGGGGAGCCCGCCAGTTGGGCCGGTCCGCTCTCGTCTCCCTTTGGGAAGTCGACCCTTGTTCTCAGGCAAACGTCGGTTTTTCTGTGGTATATCATAGATTTTCCTTACACTACGTTTTTAATGCCCCTAGATAAGAAGGTTAAACTTGCTTCTTTTCAAGAAAATATGCTTAGTCACAAGAGGGTATTTCTAAGTCTCTGCAGAAGTCTATGGGAAGATAAACTTCTTTACACTTGTACCTGCCGCCAGGTTGTTTTCTCGTGCGGCGTGTTTGGCCATATCACACGGCACTGGCGTCTCCAAGAGCTGTTCCCGCAGGGTGAGCTTTTGAGATTGGGGGGAATATGACGATTTTTTCTAAGGTTTTTGGCTTAGTGGCGGCATTCGGCGCTCGGGTAGAAATTATTTTCGCCCATATCTTAGTATTCCCCGCGTGTGCCATAGAGGTGCAGTATATCGATGAAAATTCTCCGACTATTCAACTTCTTTTATTTCCTCCTTAACACAATTTCCTTCTGTACAACTAGTTCATTACCTTCTCTTGTCGTCACCTCGCTGCCATCAAAACACTCAACATAAAACGTGCTGATAATGCAAAATCCCGATCGACGCACAGCATCGTACATGTACCGCGTCACAATATACACAATTAGATGAAAAAACACAACACGCAATACAAAAACAAGTACATTAACCGCCACCCTGCTAAAAAAAATTGAAATAATAAAAAAAATTGTTGCAGTTATCATAGTAGTTCCAAAAGAAGCCTCAGTCCCTTTTTGTTGACAATCGTCTCTTCCTTCATGGGAACAGATTTTTATCACAGGCAACTCGTGGTGTTCCGCAATGCGAAAATCAAAATGACTATTGGCACATTGATAACCAGCTACACAAATCTTGCGACTCTCAGACTTGTTTAACATTCCTCTGTTCAAACTCTTATCCATTTTACACGTACACTCCTGATATTCCGATTTGTTATTACGTCTATGGGGTCCATGAGTCTTTGATGTCATTGAATGTCTTGATAATTTCCTTTGTTGAGCTATTTTGAAAAAATAGCTCATATGTCAGTGGTGTGAGCGTATGTATCTTTGTGGCTTTGTAACTTTGTATGTTCGGATCTTTGTTGCAAGAGCCAATAAGTTTGAAGGTACTATTAGTTGATGCTTAGGAACCAATGAGATCTTACCATCTACTTAAACATGACATTGGTAAAGGTCGAACAAGGGCACTTTGAGACCGCTATCTTTATTCTTCACAATTTTTTCGTCTTTTATTACGGCTACAGGTGTTTGGAAACATTATATTAAATATCTTCATTATTCAAACGCTGTGTACAGTGATGCAGCTGTTTAAGGGTTCATATTTTAGTGTTGAAGCTACTTCAAGGCATTTCTGACCGAATTCGGCTATCGTTAACGGTATTAACGCACGTATTTATGAGTTGTGTTTCACGTGCTTCAAGGTAGAGTATAAAAGATCGTATATTTTCA